CTAATGGAGCTAAAACCATTTCCATTACCATCAAAATTCCTTTTGAAAGTAGAACGCATGATCCATGAGAAATTACACTTTCGAATATATATTCCAAGATGAATTATTATTTGTCTATGTGCTTGCCTTGTTGATAAATGAAAAAAAAAAAAAAAAACTAGATGTTGTTATGTACTTTTTTTTCCATATACTTGTAGTGCAAGTTCTCATCACCAGGTTTTCAAACTTTTTCTTTGAAACTCCCCGTTTGTATTCCCATGTTTTGCCTATTTTTACTAATTGTTGTTTTATTGTAGTTCCCTTCTCTATATATTGTATGTTTGTGTACACACGTGCTTAGGTGTATATATTGTGAGAGCATATTTGCGAAGTAAATTATGAGGATTAATATTCTTGGCCAGGCTCAAAACCAGGCCAAGAAACAGGGGCGCCTGTTTCTTGGCCTGGCCATTGTTCAAATTATGATAATAGAGTGAGGTTTAATTCTTGTTAAAATCTAGATATGACTTAGGGATGGCAAGGCAGGGTGGCGATTAAAATATTTACATTTATCATCTCGTTTAATTTATTAGTTATTTTTAGTGTGTGTATGTGTGTGTACACACACGATAGATTTAGTATTAGTTTGGGGAATTTGGAAGAGGACTATGCTCCTTCATCCTTGCTCTATTTACCAATTGAGGATTCCTCGCTCTGTTTGAGAGTGGGACGGGTTGAGGGCGGGGATTATTGTCGTTCCTAATAAGACTTCAATACTGTTAGTCGATTTTTAAAAAATACCTTTTTCTAGCTGCATATATCTTTGATTGATTGAAGGACAAATAATTTATAAACTTGTTTGTATCTATAAATTAATACGTACGTTCTTTATTTACTTCATATGGGTGTAGACGCGCCTGATCTTCTGCTCAAAGTAGACAGGACAAAGTAGCCTAAGCGGGTGGAGCCGAGCCGGCTCGAGTTTTATGTATTTTTTTTTATTAATTGAAGGCTGCAACAGGCAGCCTTTGCTGCCTGTGCAGGTGAAGCTTGAGCCTCTTTTAAAAAAAATTATTTTAATTTTTTATAAATATAATGGGCAGGCTCGCCTAGCTCGGGGTCGAGCTGACGCCCTAAAATGGGGCTCGGCCCGAGCCGAGTCTGACTTTGGCTTTTTTCGAGTCAAGTCCGAGCCGACGAGCTTTTTGCCATCCCTATTTGCGTCTCTTCAATAGACACCATTTATAATACTTGTTTTCTTGAATTATTTCAAATAATTATATTTCCTTTTTTCGATGGTAATTGAGAATTTCAAAATATTTATCTATATTTAATTGATGTTTATAAATGGTTTATAAATGTTCAAATT